AGTTAAATATTTGATATATATATAAATACACATTGTCTGAACTAGGCTGTATAGTTATTGAATTGTACAATTGTCCTCCAGGTTGAGCGGGAAAATCGACTTCGTTTCGTTTTCATCCCGTGGTTGTCGGCATACGATAACCAACCAATATTGAGGTAAGTACAACGTTTTAGAAAAGTAAAAGTGCTGAGGTGAATCATTAAATTGTAATGAAATAGGTAAGTGCAAGTATCATTAATAAATGCATTAATAAAGAAAACTCCCTAGGCTGACAACGTTCATTTGCAATGTATAATGCTACACGTATACCTCGTACTATCATGATGTCCACTTTTGGTTTTAATACATTTATCCTCAGTTGTGCCAGTTGTTTTTGTTTTATACCTTTTTGTGCATTTAATGTACAACCGTACCCTTCAGAGAGTAGGAATATAATAAGTCATAAAGAGCTGTAAAATGTTAGGTTTAATGGGATATAATGAGGATCAAGTAAAGACGTTATTGGAAAATGAATGAGATAAGACATTGTGAAGTGGTATTTAAAGATCAGTCAATGGACAGCAAGTTAGTTTATAAGATGCCCCATAAAACTGTGCACATCCCACATGGTCGCATCTCAACAATAGGCTGGGCGAATAGTATATATTTAGAGGTAGAAGCATGATCTGTCAAGGCGTTCATTATTATCTTTTTCAAGATAAAGATCTAAGCCCTCATAAAAATCAGAAATATCTCGAGCCTTTAATTTGTATATTGCTGTTCCTGCAGAATGGGGCGATTCACCTTAGTGACCCCCACCATATCTACTGATCAGCTAACGCCACCCTCCCTCCTTTTTTGATGTTAAGCTCTGAGACTATGATTATTATGGCTACCGCAAATATATTGCTTGGTACCAGACATGTTCGTACCTCATATTCCATCTCCCTAGCTTTCTTAATGAGTGCTTCCAATAGGTCTCCGCGTACATCTTTATGAACATTATATATGTATGCATGCGTCCTAATGAACAGATTACTTTACAAGAAGTTAGAACCTTAAAGAATAAAAAGAATAGGTTTTGTGAATAGTGAAGCAAGATTCAGCAGAACAATATAGTTAGGGATCAATGTAGGTAGTATGAACTGAAGGTAAGGTCGGTTGGCAGGACTTAGTGTACTAAATTATCATGACAGTCTTGTATATAGTAGACATCTGACATTGCAAAGTAACGTGTCTAAACATATTATAAAAAGATATTAACAGAACCAACAAAATTTCAGCATTTGTTTAACAATACTACAGAAGGGTAGTTAGTACTACAGGTAGTCGTAAAGTAAATCAATCTATGTATAATAAGAGCATAGTCAGTGTCATAATTCGTATTATCAAAGAATACATTAGGCTCAATAACTGAGTGTTATAAGGGAAACAAGCATGGTAAAGCAAGAGAACACTTGCCGCATAGCTATTTTAATCATTTTAAGTATTTTAATGACAATCGAATTTCAAGTATTGAACCTACATAATTACTAAGTGTTATTATATTGGTATTGGGACTAGTGTACTTTCCGTAGTTAAATATTGAAAAGCCATTGTCTCTCCACTCTACCAGCAGTTGAGATCTTTGAGGCGGGCTAGGGTGGACATGTTTATATGTTTTTCTAGGCTCCTTTTGAAACTGTCAGGCCTTTCACAGGATCTTATCTCAGAGGGTAGTTGGTTCCAAAGTTTGCAATATTTAATGGTGAAGAAGTTAGCTCTAGTGGTGAGTTTATGGGTGTTAACCTTGAGAAGGTAGTTGTGGTTGCGTAGTCCATACGATTTAGGATTAGCCCAGGTTATGGACGAGTTACTGTTACAGTGCTTTCTTATAACTTTGAATAAGAGAAATAAATTGCACTTCACTCTCCTTAACCATAAGGGCTCTAAGTCCAGTCGAATACATCTGTCAAGGTATTCTATTTGCTGACCATAGCCTAATATGCGTTTCGTAAGGAATCTTTGGACACTTTCAACCTTTTTTCTGTCTGCCGACTTGAAGCTACTGTATAAGTGGGCACAGTATTCAAGTTTGGGGCGAATGCATATCTTATATATGGCTAATCTGGCTTCTGGAGTGTAAAAGTTGCGTAGCACAAAGCCGGTTAGACGTTTACAATCAGATACCACCTTATTTGCATGTTCAGTAAAGGTAAGATCTGAGTATGTTATCCCGAGATCTGTGACTGTGTTTGTGTTTGAGACAAGGTCACCGTACATGTATAGACACATGCTAGGTTTCCAACGTCCGAAGTATGTTATCCCAGATTTAGCTGGATTGAACGTTAACTGCCACTTTTCACTCCAATTACATAGACTATTTAGGTCTTCTTGGATTTTACTAACAATATTCATATCATTATAGTCAAAATCATAGACAACTTTGAGGTCATCTGCAAAGAGGTATGGCTTGCCATACTTGATCATAGAGACAATATCATTTATGAATACAATGAATAGGGTAGGGCCAAGAACACTACCTTGTATCACGCCGCTGGTTATCGGTTTGGATGTTGATAAGTGATGGTAAGAAAGGAAGTTATCCACTCAAGAAGCCTTCCACTTATTCCATAAGATAGGAGTTTCAGTATGAGTCTTTTATGTGGGACTTTATCAAAAGCTTTCCTAACATCTAGAAATAATGTTGCTGCCGAACGACCTTTGTCTACACATTCAGTAATGTGATCGAAATAATCTAACTGGCACGTAATGCACGATCTTCTATTTAGGAAACCGTATTGGAAAGGGGATATTAAGTCATTCGAGAGCAAATACTGAACAATTTGCTTCTTTACAATCTTTTCCATCACACGTGAAACTACGGAAGTAATGTTGATGGGGCGGTAATTATCTATGTCCGCTGTAGGTCCGGTTTTGTGAATGGGTACAAGTCACATGACAAGTCACCATGACTTACTTTCCTGTTTGCATCCAAGACACTCTGTCCCTTCTTTGACCCAGGCATTGTTGAACTTGACCCAATTCCAAAAAGGTTCCAGATATTGCTTGTTCAAAGAGGACTTGACCGGCACCAGGAAAAATGAACGGCGACTATCCAAACTTTCACCAACTGTTTGAATCCGCCAGATCTGTTTCCATCGTCAGAAACTGTCAATCACGTCTCATAAACCGTTAATGCCCAGCTCTCGCTACGCTCGGGCCCACGCTGTTCCTTGAAGTTTTCAGAAACGCTTAGTTATAACGGACGAAAAAACCAAAACACCGATCTGCCGCTTGAGATTTCTTTATTGTTACACCAACATATAAAAAGAATAAGCGAACTAAGGTCTGTGAACAAATATTACAATAATAAATCATAAGATTACTTCTGACGATGTTTTACTCTTCTTTCTGAACAGCGACCGATGAGACGATGACTGTCGTATTGACGCCTCCGCGACAATTGGGGAAGTTGATTTTGAGCAAACAACCAAGAATTGATCGTTCAATCTTCAACTCCATTGACACTCACCGTGTAAGTCAATTTGTTTAGCTGAAAGCTTCCCATGAAGCATCCACGCCATTAGGTACTCCGTCGTGTCACGTGCGCGCATGATACCTAGCTAAGCAATCATCTCGCACTCCTATCTAGTCCCTAAATACATCTCGTAGTTTAGACGACCAACTCTGGTGTTTTGCTTTGCCTTTGGTCTACGCGAAAAGAACACTATAGAAGTTGTTGGTATTAAATCTCGCTTTAGTATACTTCGTACTATCCGTGAACGCCAATACCGGCAATCTCTAATATACGGACAGATTAGAGAAGTATACAATAGCACCATAGCGAAGCTGCTGAGTTCCTGTACCCAGAAAATCCAATTGTCTATCCGTGTTCCAATCTGCACAGATAAACAAATAGACTTTTGGAGGTTCTATTTATTTGATGACCTTCTTTGGTCCCCCACAGAACTTTGTACCATTAGACAGCCCCATATTAGATTAAGACTACATTGTCACTGAACACTGTGTGCCGACCGTTACTGATTTTGTCGGTTGGCTAGGCTTATGTTGAGGCTTCATATGAAATGTTTCCCGGCGTCTATCGTCCTTAAATATATCCCAAAGCCAAAATGCATTCCGCAGTGCTGAATAATAATAATAATAATAATAATAGCTTTATTCCAAACAGCAAGTGGGCAAGTTATTACCTTCTGGGTAAGGCTCAAATTGTAGGCTTAATGACGCTGTGGATTTATAGAAACAATGAAACGAATAGTTTCAACTGTTCTGACCGGTGACAATGAATACTTCCATTGATCCCAAACCACCTAACTATTAATGCGTCAATAAAATTATGGTTGATGCCAATCGGGCGAAATAGTAGTGTTCCAATCTTGCCAAAGGTAACAGCTACCTTAGTAAACACTAACCTGTGTGTCTTGAACTACCTATTCGTTTTCTCTTCGAAGTAATTAGTATAGCATACTTAGTGTGGGCGCTCCACCTCAGAACTTTCTTAAGCCACAACGTCTTAGTGTGTTGTACTATTCCATTTCTACATTAGTATGTCCTCCTTTGACTTAAAGCACCCTGCTAATTACGGTTTTATGAAGGCTAGCTTACGATCGTTGTACGATTCCCTACCCGAATTACTTGCTCTAATGACTTGATCGTCACTTATAATTAAACAAGAGTTTTTAATATATGGACAAAATACCCTACTTTATCTGTAGCTATTTCAATCTAAACGAAGAGGTTTCGAAGCATAACTGGCGTTTTGTTAACTGATGAGGCTCACCATTAGCTTCATAGTAAATCAGGTACTTCAATCCGCATGACAGTTATTATAAAAATTATTCAGTTACAAAACGTGTACCTTTGGGATATATTTGTGTACGAAGTAAAATTTTAAATATGAGAAACTTGAAAAATCTATACTGTGTCAACACTGGGGTTTGGGATTGAGTGATTGTAACAATAATCTAGATAATAACAATGATTGGACATTGACAAGGTCGATTCAAAAGCGGTTTTTCAAAATGTTGCAGTACTTCACCTTCGAGAATCAAAAAATTAAAAGTTTGGTTGCTGTGAGTATATCATTTTTGCTGAACTATTTTTATATGAAAACGAATTTTCAATTCAGTCGCTTTCAATGGTATTGCATTCAAATGAGATATAATTACCTAACAGGTGTAGTCGCTTGAGGAATTTTCTCACGTAATCACTTGAATATATTACTGGCTATGCTGAATATATTTTTTTAACATACCGATTGCTTACCTTATTTGGATATTTGGGTTATCTCAATATTGATTTTATCCAGTGCACTTATGCCTCCTGTGCATCAGTGTATTTCACGCATAATCGAACTTATGGTTAACGAGTGCACTCAAAACACTCAGCATCGCAACCTTATCCACACCAGCAAAACCTTTCTGCTAATTACTAGATAGGTGCGCCAATATGAGCGTCTGAGAAACCTTCTCCATTCTCTTCTGGGACTGGAGTGTGATTGAAGAGTTCTTTCAGTCGTTTATCTAATTAACTGCACCTGACATATAGTTTGCCGTGTACTGATTCAATTGGATTGGTGAAAATATTTTCCGGGGTTAGTTCACAGTAGCCGAGTTTCATCTCTTACTCTCTTACAAGTAATGAGGGAATTTAATTTAGATTAGGCAAATTCTTTGCAGCAATGGTGCGTAAGCTTAAACTTATAGTAACGATCCAGTCTTTATGTAAAAATTGACATGAATGGTTGAGATGCAACTTAATTAGCGACCAAATGAATTTAACTAAACAGCTGTACAACGAATATTTGTTTGTAGTATTATTCTACTAATTCACGTTAAAGTATTGGTAATAGCTGGTCGTAGACTAAGTGGTGCTCGGGAGGTATAAACACTAGACAGCCATATAGACTTCAGACCAGGAAGAAGGTGTACTGATCATACCTCAACCCTCCGACAGATTCTAGAACATAGGAATTCCTACCGACGCACAGTGGTTAGGACTCTCGCCGACCATGCACATGGTTCGGGGTTAGAGCCCACACCGACGCACATCTGATATCTATGGTCGGCCTGCTTATTTTGGGCTACCGATATCCATGCTGAAAATTCCATACTTGTATCAAAAATACGGTGTGGAATCAAGCTGTAATCAAAATTAAAAACAAATATTCCTTGACCTTTAGGCGGCATTCGATTCTGTCGACCGAGAGGTCCTCTGGAGATGCTTGGCTGTAAATGGAATGCCGAGAAAATACATTGCACTGATTAAGGCACTCTACTCGTACCCATACAGCCAGGTGAGGACATACGGTAAGTTGTCATCTGAACTGGTGACGACTAGTCGTGTCCGTCAGGGATGCCCATTATCCCCTTTTCTATTCAACTTCATCATAGATGTACTAATGGACTTAACCCTAGGTGACTTCAGCGACTCAGAGATTGACTTTCCACCAGGGAATAATAGTCTCATTGACTTAGAATATGCAGACGATATAGTCCTTCTAGGCGAGAACGCTGAAGAAAAGCAGTCTTCTAAACACTTGGAGCTGCAACCTACGAATATTTGGCATGCGATTCGCTCCCGCCAAATGTAAGATGATGGTACAGAACTGGACTACAGCGACTCCTAGATTAGAAATAGGAAGTCAAGTGGTAGAGCACGTTGACCGCTTCATTTATTTGGGAAGTACCATCAGCCAGCGTCAACGGGTTGATCTCTGAAGAAATCTCAGCACGGATACAAGGGGCTCGTTTCGCATATGCCAGTTTACTCCGCATCTGGCGTAGACGTGATATCCGACTGGGTATCGACCAAAAGGCGTGTGTACTGTCCATCAGTCCGCTCTGTCCTCCTTTATGGTTGTGAGTGAGACATGGCCATGGAGAGTAGAAGACATGAAAAGATTAGGTGTCTTTGATCATAGGTACCTGCGCTCTATCTCCCGTGTGAAGTGGTATAATAAGGTGAGCAATATTGAGGTTAGGTATTGGTCGAGTGCTAGGTAAGGAGGGGAAATCAATCGACGAGGCTGTGAAATGAAACCGACTGAAATGGTTTGGACATGTTTTACGCATGCATCCCTAGCCATCGATCGCCTTCCTCGACGGGCGATGTTAGCGGACATAGGGTCAGTCTGGAAAAGAGCTAACCAGATGTGCTCAAACCAAAATATGGCGTCATCAGTCAGTGAAATTCACAACAGTTAGTTTAAGCCACGTAGGAAGGTGTAGACTTCCTAACTGCTTGGGGTCCTCGGGACAGTAAAAACCAATCAAGGCTGGAGACAATCGGCGATCCGACTCAAACTCATCGTTCTCAATGGCTGATGCAGATGCATCCACTCCTTGTGACTTATGATTGTCAATGAAACTATATTGCTCTTTGTTATTACTATTCCTTTTGTCTCATATCTCTGTTTACTTTCTCTATTTTAAATTTCTTCTACTTTCTCCTCTTGGTTTGTCTGGTACATGGAGGGAGAGTGGCGACTCGAACGTCCGCACATCGGTGCAAAATTCTATGTCGAAAACAGACAGACAGACAATACCTGATCAGATGCTTAATAACATATACTTACTTAACTACTTACCACTTTAAAGTTTGTTTTTAGTATGCTTCAAATAATGGGCGATTTAAATATTTTAATTAATTGGATATTAATAGGGTAAAACTGCTAGTTGTATTAGAAAAATGATTGTCAGGTAATAAGTAACTAAAAATAGGAATAGGTAAATAAGCGTGCTACCTTAACTAAACTATTTCAGTGGTGCCTAGTAACGCCAAATCGACTTTTAACCCGGTGAATAACCACTGAAAATGTAGGGAAATAATTAAAAATTTATTATTTGCTAGTCATATTATCTATAATAGTGAGACTTGTTTGTTCACTGAGTTTTCGAAAGTGAGTATTGACTGTATGATTCAAATAGTGACTTCGAAAGGGAATATTTAAAATTAAACTTGGATTAAATAACCTTGATTTTATATATTTAGAAGGATTTAGTGCAGTTAAATGTTGGGAAATTAGAAATAGAACGTGTATCATGATAGTAACGAGATAAAGAAAGATTTACTAAGGAAAAATGTGAAGACGTTTATACAAACTGAGTTCATTAGAAACCTAACAACTGAATAGAATTCCTATATATTCCCCATAATTTTACTAGTATCCTCACTTTTTGCGACTAATATTATGTTACTCAAATTGGTCACCTAAGTTGTTCTGATTGTTAAAAGTAGCAGTGTGACTGTTATTCTTAAATTGTATGAATCCGTTTGAATGTCAGCTTAGTAATAAGATTGTATTTTTAACATTAAGAATAGCTTAGATTATTTTAACTTGATAGGACACAAGTTTTATTTCAGTATACAATTACTTAGAAAGTTTTCTGCAAATGAATTTAGGGGTCTGTTTTTCTGCTGTGTAATAAATGCGACCTAAGGCCCTATTTATTTAACGATGACGAGTTTTTTTACCTTATGAAGGGTATCTCCCCCTTAGCAGTTTTCTCCTTACAGATCGTCAAATAGGTTTGTTTTTGAGTACAATAAATAGTTTCACTGAAACGCTTTCTTTTTTTTTAGAAACGTTACCAAACCAACTGTATGCATATCAAATTGATCATCAATGGTTTTTGGTGATGTTTTACCGTTACCTCCATGTACAGAACCGTATGCATTCCAGGTGGCTGGTCATTCCAGAGAGAATTCACATAAATTTGAAAGTAAGTTACTTGTTATCGATCAATCGTAAATATGAATCATTTCATTACTCCTTATTGATTAGTAATGATGTTATTTGTGACATGCTGTATGTAATGTGATAACGACTCTGTAGCTAATGATTTGATTTGTCTGTCTGACCCCACCGAAGAAGTCGTGATGCACCAACATGTCAATCTAGAATAATTATCCTTCATCCTACGGATCCACATCATGGGCGTGTGACTTGTACTTTTTCGACATAATATATATCAGTATAAAGTTATTATTATTATTATGAAAATAGGTGGTTTGATTGTTACTAATAATTTTTACTGTATCACCAGAAGACATTGGCTGTTTACAAAACCTATATTTAGGCTCCTATCATGCATTTGTTTACGTTCGTTTTGATGGAAGATACGAACAGGCTAGCTGTATTTGATCATAGGTGGCTGCGTTCTATCTCCCGTGTTAAGTGGTATAGTAAGGTGAGTAATATCGAGGTTAGGCGTCGAGTGCTAGGTAAGGAGGAGATAATTAATAGAATTAGGTTGTGAAAATACGCCGATCAAGATGGTTCTGACATGCGTTACGCATGCATCCCTAGCCACCGATCACCTTCCTCGACGGGCAATGTTAGCTGACATAGAATGGATCTGCTCACTGTTTCTGTTATGCTTTACTTTCTTCTCTTGCTTCGCGTGCTACACGGAATGTGGCGACTTGAACTTCCGCACATTTGTGCAAAGTTCTATGTCGAAAACAGACAGACAGACAGGTTGGAAAAGAGCTAGTGGTGGTCAAGTCAAAACATGGCTTCATCAGTTAGTGAAATCCACAACGGTTAGTTTAAGCCGGTAATGTGGGGAAGTGTAGACTTCCTGAATAGTTGGAGTCCTTGGGATGGTAGGAACAAATGAAGGCTCGAAATAATTGGTGATACGGACCAAAATTGTTCTCGATGGCTGGCGCATATGCATTCACTCTTTGGGATTCTTTTGCCTCATATCTCTATTTGCCTCCAAAGCCTCAGGATGGTCGGGGGTGGGTGCCTTGCGCTGCGGGTTGGCTACCCCTCTGTACACCTCTTGAAATGCTCCCTTATGACCGGGCGTCTTACATAGCCTCTCCTGAGGAAGTTCTACTCACTGCCTTCACGTGGCGGAGGTGTTTTTCACCGAAGTGAGAAGGCAAAAGCGGATGCCCGGCGCTCATCACCGGGTTGACTGTCCATTGGATGACAGTCTAGGGGAGATGGCTAAACCCTGATTCCAAACCTCCAACGACTGGCGTATGAAGCTCACCGACAGACGTATGGACAAAGGGCTTATTGGATGCCCCGGATGTCTGGCCCCATTCAAAAAGGCGTATGAACCGGACTCCGGTCACCGGCTGGCTTCCAATGGATAGTGGACTCCCTATTCCACTCCTACTGCCTTGTAGGTCACACTTGGTTGTGTAAAGGCTAGAGCTGCACTCTCAAACAAAAGGCCGAGCGATTCTGGGGACATCACTCGTACCTAATTCCCATGAAACTTCATGAACTCTCTACAGCATCAACCAAATTCCAGTACTGGTCCAACAACGTCGCCTTTGGTGGTTTGGCCATCTTCTGCGCCGACCAGATGACGATCTGGTCAAATCAGTTTTAAATCCCTCGCCATTTCCATCTTGGCGATGTTGCAGGGGTGGACAGCTGAAAACATGGCTTGGTACAGTCAAGGCTGATATGGAGTGCCTGGGGCTACAAACCCTCTACGGACTCCGTCTGTGGAACAAGAATTGGATAACCCTGTCGCAAAACCTTGCATCAGATCGCCGCGCCTGGGCAGTGATGATTCGAGATGTTCATGAAGCCGGCTCATCCTCCCGTAGGAGATAGCCGAAGTAAAAATATATCTCTTTGCTCAAGATTTAGTATGACTAATAGTAATCAGCTGATGCAAAGAGATTTATTTTAATCCGATTAATCCTCATTTGGGTTTGATGTCTAACTAAAGTTAAAGAAAAATACGAAAGCCAAATCAATCTCACAATTTGATAAGAATCCATTGATTGGATTTTCTTTCTTTACAAATGTTATGTACTGGTCGAGAATTTAATAGTCCTGACGTAAGAAAGACGGAAATCAGAAGACCACTAGGTTTGCGATGATACTTCTATTTTCCAAATCACAAGGAGAATCAATATGTATCACACAATAGTGTGAGAGCAAAATATATATGAATGTCCAAACAAGTGTGTGAACAAATCAATAGACAGTCTTAACATGATTGGCTAATTATAATGGAGTATCGATCCATATATACATAGCAAAATATAGCAGACATGTCAACAAACACACATATTATATATACTATAAGGGGAACATTGTTAAAGGAGACAAGTTCATCAAAGTGAAATGGTCACAGACTAAGAGAGCAATAGAAAGAGAGACCACCATATATATATATATATATATATATATATATATATATATATATATATATATATATATATATATATATATATATATATATGGATACATATCAACAAACTATAGGATAGCGAACTTCGTAGCATATGATACTTGCCATATTTCTCAATCAGAGGACAAAATTAGACTCTACTGACTAAGTGGTTGTCCGTTAATGTTTTTTTGTTGTTGCTAAAAGGGAATATTCGAACTCTTCAATTTACAAAGAGTGAGAATTACCGAAATTATTTGTCCAGCATGTCTAGCGCCATCAGAAAGGAGAAAAGTCTTCCTGTGATAATCACAGAAAGATTAGCTTGAGTAGTATAGTATCTAAAGTCCTAGGCTCAATAATATTGCGTAGACTAAGTGGTGCTCTGAAGGCACAAACACGAGAGAACCAGGCAGGCTTTAGACCAGGAAGAGGGTTTATTGATCATATCTTCACCCTTCGACAGATTCTAGAACATAGGCATTCTTACCGGTGCCCAACAATGATTATATTTCTTGACCTTAAAGCGGCATTCGATTCTGTCGATCGAATAATCTCGTTGACTTAGAGTATGCAGACGGTATAGTCCTCCTAGGCAAGGACTCTGACAAAATGCAGAGTCTTCTAAACACCTTGAGCTGCAATCTACGAATATTTGGCATGCGATTCGCTCCCGCCAAATGTAAGATGATGGTACAGAACTGGACTACAGCGACTCCTAGATTAGAAATAGGAAGTCAAGTGGTAGAGCACGTTGACCGCTTCATTTATTTGGGAAGTACCATCAGCCAGCGTCAACGGGTTGATCTCTGAAGAAATCTCAGCACGGATACAAGGGGCTCGTTTCGCATATGCCAGTTTACTCCGCATCTGGCGTAGACGTGATATCCGACTGGGTATCGACCAAAAGGCGTGTGTACTGTCCATCAGTCCGCTCTGTCCTCCTTTATGGTTGTGAGTGAGACATGGCCATGGAGAGTAGAAGACATGAAAAGATTAGGTGTCTTTGATCATAGGTACCTGCGCTCTATCTCCCGTGTGAAGTGGTATAATAAGGTGAGCAATATTGAGGTTAGGTATTGGTCGAGTGCTAGGTAAGGAGGGGAAATCAATCGACGAGGCTGTGAAATGAAACCGACTGAAATGGTTTGGACATGTTTTACGCATGCATCCCTAGCCATCGATCGCCTTCCTCGACGGGCGATGTTAGCGGACATAGGGTCAGTCTGGAAAAGAGCTAACCAGATGTGCTCAAACCAAAATATGGCGTCATCAGTCAGTGAAATTCACAACAGTTAGTTTAAGCCACGTAGGAAGGTGTAGACTTCCTAACTGCTTGGGGTCCTCGGGACAGTAAAAACCAATCAAGGCTGGAGACAATCGGCGATCCGACTCAAACTCATCGTTCTCAATGGCTGATGCAGATGCATCCACTCCTTGTGACTTATGATTGTCAATGAAACTATATTGCTCTTTGTTATTACTATTCCTTTTGTCTCATATCTCTGTTTACTTTCTCTATTTTAAATTTCTTCTACTTTCTCCTCTTGGTTTGTCTGGTACATGGAGGGAGAGTGGCGACTCGAACGTTCGCACATCGGTGCAAAATTCTATGTCGAAAACAGACAGACAGCGGCAACTGCTATGCCGAAATGTTTTTTTTTTGTGAAAAAATTAATGAAATTGACTCTTTAATATCGATCTCTTGAGTGTGAGACATAGTTTGTTTGTTTGTTTTCGGAGATGAAGAGTGAAATGGTTGAGTGTTTTAATCATTGAAGTCGTTCAGAAAGTTATTTTGTTACTGATGGACTGATGGTTCATATTTATTTATAAGCAAATAAAAATGGTTGTCTGACCCCAGTCAACCTACATTATCCATAATCCAGACAAGATATGCAATCACCATAGTCATACGCTCACAAAATCTTGAGTTTTCTGAATGTATTAAGCGAAATTCTCGATCCGCCCCTGTCAGATATAAGGCAATGTCATCTGACTGGGAGTTGTAATGGATTGCTTGCTGACAAAATCTCATCACAGATTCAAAAGGCTTGATAAACTGCAGCACTTTATCCGGTGGTGCATTAAAAATTGCGTGTTTTTTGTTTCCTTCGTCATAATTTGGACAATGAGACGTGGTCATCAAAACTAGGAATTATGAGATTATAAGAGTTTGATAATAGATTCACCATTTAGTCCATTAATAGTAGTTAAAGAAAGATTCCAATTAATGTTGAGTTCAAATGTCATGACAGTGGTGAGCCACTTAGTATAATGGCCACATTTTAAACTTGACTGTGATAGAATTTAGTGTGCACAAACATCAAAGACTAAGCATTATTACTAGACTTTTTTTTTATTCCTTTATGTTCCCAGTGGAACATAGGGCTTCAGGCTAGAGGTTTGAAGTTTCGGTAGCAGTGATGTTTATTTTTTTGGATGGGGTTTTTGCTAGCCTCATGTCCAACCTTCCCTCTTTACCAGTCTTATTACTGACCTAGCGGTATAAAGAAGTGCGTCAGGCGGGGGTCAAATCCCGAACCATCTGCCTGTATCCTCACTCAGTCTTG